GTGGAGGAAGGGGAAGGGGGGGGCCAGAGAGCATTGCTCTTTTATCTGCACATTATCAAAGAGCTAAGCTGTTCTATCAGGCAAATGATTGGGATTTATCATGAGAGCCCAGATTATAAATGCTGATGTATTGTTTTTTATTTTTATTTCGAAAGGTCACTCAAAAGTAGAGTTACAGCATTCTCGGCAAGTGAGAAAGGGGATTTCATTAAGATTTTTTAACAAAACATTAGATGCATAATGTTGAGCCTGTAGCTTAACAGTTTATACTGTCAACAGCAGAATGTAACATTTTCTCACTTATCCCCTCAAAGTTATACTCTGTAAGATTTGAGTCAGTGTAGATTTGTTCATAAAAGCTGCGTTATTATACAGCATAAATGGGACTAACTCGCAACAACAGACTGTATCTCAGAGTATGACTTTTTCACTGCCCATTTCTCATATAGAAAACATCATTACTTTGAACAATGAACATAGACATAAACAGACACACTCACACGCATACATTGAACATATACACGCAAAGACACACACATATGTGCATACATACATACATACAAACGACACAAAAAGTTACAAACATATACGACACATAAAACACATGTAGAAATGCACTGATACACACACATGACATACACTGACTGTCAAACCCTGCGCTGTCAATACAAAATAACTGACTATGTGTGTAGCAGTAATTCAGAGCACAATCACACTTCCTAAGTTAGCAGATTCTCAGGTGTGTGAGGTTAGAAACAAGACTGTGCCACATCTAAAATGATGTCTAAACAATGGTGCATATGATTTCTGCTCCCTACAGTCATTTTTATGAGTGATACAGTTTGGCATGAAGTCAGAGTGGCACACTGATGCAGAGAGCTCCGTCTGACTCGGAGAAATATGACACAGCTATGCCTCATCTTTAAGGAGGCATATATAATTGTCAGTTAATAGAAAAATTTAACCCTTCTTTATTATATGTTCTGCGTCTGACCTGTGTTGAACCTTAAACCGGTGTATGAATCAGCAACCACCTCCTTTGGCCATTCTAGTGTTTCTTTCCAGGAACATGACACATGCCTGCTTCATTTTTCAAGGCTCACTACTCCCACTTTCTCTATCCCTTTCATTTTCTGTTTTTCTTTACCCCAGGCTTCATAAGGCACAGGTGTATGGATAATCCTGGAGTCCCTGCTGAGGAAACCAGGCCCCTCTAAAGGCTGGGGGGATTTATTTGCTCTGCATATCTGAGGCTAAGAGGCTCTGCTCCGGGAAAATATCAAGCCACTGTCAAAAGTGGCATCGCATTGAGTGATTCCTTAGCGCTCAAATGACACTGCCCCTCGGAGACAAAATTGTCACTTGAGTTTACACAGACTCCCACAGTTGTGGCCCCTGTCATGCTCCGCCTGTGCCAAAGACATATGAGAGGCCATGTTTCAGACACTGCTGGTGCTGGACAGCCCATCAGCAAAGTATCCAGGATACTCTGTGAGCATCACTCGGCAGAGGAATAATCCTTATGGGGCTGAGGCATAAAGTGTAGAATTGAGGCCAGCTGCCAATCTCAAATAGATTGCACCCTAAGCTGATAATAATAATAATAATAAAAGTGGGACATACATGCCTCCAGTAATCCCACTCTTTTTGTAAATTAGCTAATAAGTTAGGACAGCACTAGTATTTTCTGTGAAGCCAGCAGGCTTTAAGACTAGACCGTATGACATACAGAAATATCCTATCACTGCAGTGTATTTTGATATGGAAAGGAGAGAAAAAATGGGAAAAGCCATATCGTGGCAAAATGGCCGCCTACTTGACCTGTATTGGAGGAGGAAATAACAAGCTGTTCCTTCCACAGGCTTTCACAACACCCGGGGGAGCAGGCTGACCCTGCAACTGCAGAGCCGGAGGAGCTGCCCTCGTCGCTGGCTCCTCTGGGAAGGACACAACAGGCCACCCCAGGGAAGTGTTCATCTAGCAGCCGGCCACCGAATCAATAAACAACACTGAGCCGTCTATATCTACTGCTGCTTAAACACATACACCATACAGTCTCTGTCTTCCTCTATGTCTCAAAACATGGCAGGCGAGTCAGTAGAGGGAGCTGGCCACTTCTCTAACTTCCTTCTGACTTACTAAATTCATATTAGTCCTCTAATGGTGTGTCATTGTCATCCCTTTCAGAGAGTGTGTCAGGACAAGCTACTGTAAGTTATCTGTCTAAATATCAAACATTCTACAGTCTGTTACTTCACCTGTTGGCTCCAGAGCAGGTTACTTACCTGAGCAGGGTTTGGGAAAAGTATTTCAGTGTGTTTGCAATGTCTGTTCCGGAGGGCACAGGGTAAATATTGTGTTGCACACGGTTGTGATACTCTTGCAAGTATCGTATCTTAGAGGCAACTAGACAAAATAAAAAGAGCAGAGTAACAAGGAAAAATCAACACTAGTGAGACTATCATGGAGAGTATAAAAAAATATTCATCAGAGCACAAAGACATGCATGAAGCTGTGTTTCTGTTGAGATCTTCTGGCTAACATTAAGACAGCGGGCAGCATGTAACACGGACGTTCCAATTATCAAGTCAGACAAAGAGCCTGTGTGTTCCCATGGCTCTCTGGCCTTCACCAGGTGACCTTTTTTGGTATAGCAGTGAGGTCACAGGAAGCCTTAGAGGAGGCAGTGAACTATTGCTTACAGAAACAAGCTTGTGTACAAAAGGTTGCCAGTTCAAGTCCCAAGACAAGCTGGGAAAATGTGGACAGGGGTGAACATGAGAGAGAGCTTACTCATCCCTTAACAGATGATACTGGGGGACATTTTCCACAATGATCCCCCCCCGCTTACTATGTTTAAGGTCACTCCTTTAGGTATGAATGTGTTATTGGATTGTTTTTTTGCCTTGTTGAATACAAATTAAAAGAAGTTGGAGTTGACCCATTTTCTGTGACTTTGGGCAGCAGTGTTTAGCTTCTTCCCTGACCTGTAAATGACAAATCCCAAAATAAAAATAACAGCTGCGGGCTTTGTGTGCAGAGCATATGTGGTCAAAGCCTGTGCTGCCATACCTACAGACTGTAGCACACATGCTTCTCTCTTCTTGATTTTAAATATCCTAAGTGACAAACTATTAGATATTTTAAAAATTTGAATGCCTCAATTCCTTAAAATATAGATGACGGCTGCTTATATGTTGTTTAACAGTAGAAGTTCATCTATTTCTGATATCAGCCTGATCAATTCCTCCATATATTGACTATTAAACAAAATCAGCAACACACAACTTTAAGCCAATTGAGATTAAAGTCCCAAACAGCAAGTTTGACCCCATATTTTCTGTCTATTACATACTTAAAGTGAGCAATATCTGATTAAAAGTGTACAGAGACCATTCATTAATATGGAAGAGAATCTGAACACAGAGGCTGTCTTTTTACACCTGTTCAAAAGCAATCGGAGGAAATTAACCACAGCCTTCGGAACGATGTGATCAATCCCCATTATTGATCAATCTGGTGCGACCATATTTGTACAGTAAAGAATCTGTCAGGTCGACCTTGAATCCAGCAGCACACCTCGCTTTTTTCCGCACGCACCTCATCCAACCACGTCAATCAAAAATAAAAAAAAATGATAACATGACGACTGTGCGATCCAGCCACATAAACTGTTTCCCCCCTTTAACGCCGATAAATACACAGATATGTATATAAATATTGTATACAGGGGGGGCTTCCTGTGTGCTCTGAGCCCTCCAGCCATCCTCTGCAGTGAGAGGACGTGTTGCAACCTGCCATGGCAACCGCGGTTTCATCACCAAGGACAGCTCCCCTCATACGATTTCTTGGTTCAAACAAAAAAATCACATTTCCAGTGTCCAAAACCTCCCATGACCAAGGCAGGAAAAAAAAACACACACACACACACACCGTACTTACACTGCTCTGCCTTCGTAGACATTTCGCAGACACTTGGGGAGACACAAAACCCAGACTGTCAATTGTTTTAGTGTTTTTTTTTCCTCCCCGGCGTTGTGTTTCCCTCAGTCGTGAAAAAGTGAATATACCCCCCTCGCAGCCCAGGCTCGGCTTGATTGTACCACTCTGCGCGATGGATTTATGCGCTGGGTCTTTTTTTTAAAGCGGTGCTGCGGTCGTTTTCGTGAGCTTTTAGCGGAATTGAAATGCAAGATCCATTTTGGGGAGTCGGTTTTTAATTTTTAAGAGTTTGATTTTCTCATGGCGGAGAGGATTTGTTGGTATAGATCTGCCACAGCATACCTTTCCAAATGGACTGATCCGGCTTTGACAAATTGTCATTCAAGAATTCCAACAACCCCTATCAGTCCACTTAGAAGTGATCATAGGAGGCAAATTACGACCGGTTACTTATCAATATCCCTGCGCATTTGTGTATATGTGCCGCATATAAAAGGCTTAACATGCAACAGATGGTTGTCACATTGTTGTAATCATAAACATGACGTGTCCTGGAGGGAAATTATATATTGGCCTTCATTTGTTTGCATATTTTAGGAAATTTAGATTTTTCCTTTGTTGTTGTCAATACTCCCTATTTCTGGTAACATAGCGAGGTGATATTAATCCAGATTATCACCTGAAGGCCATAAGGATAAAACATCCATATGTCACTTTTTTTAATCTATAAATGCACTTAAATCAGCCACTCTTGTGATAAATGGAGCATATTTTTTTTTAATTCTGAATCCTTTACTGGGAGCAAACTGCAACTGGAAGATAAACAGACTTCAGGGTCTGAAGTACTGACAGACCCCTCCCATTATAGTTTGTGCCAAGAACTGTTGGACTGTTTCCATCTTATCTCCAGCTGATTGGGAGCAACATCCTGTCACTGCAGTCAGAACCTGGAATGACCCATGTGCTTGGTACTACAGTTTATCCTGCTCCTCAAAGTGTGATCAGGCAAATATTATGTATTTTACAAACGTTAGAAATAAAACATACCACAGCAGATATCATGTCAAAGTCTTTATACATTTTATCATCAAGTTGCACTTCCCTTTACAACATTTTACACACTGGAAAGATCTACACTTAATAACAGTGTATGGGAGTCTTTCTGAATGCAGAGTTCTTGCGGAAGTCCCAGTCAAGGCGGTGGTCTCTGCCGATACTCTGGGATGTGATGCAAGATCCATCCAGCCGGGCCCAAGAGAGTCCCAGCAAACACACATAAGGCAAAGACAGATTGCTGTAAAACAGTCCATGAGAACATAAACATAAATGCTTGGTTAATAGACATGTTCTTTGGAATGAAACAACTTTATGAAGGATGATATTTAGTGCACACAGTGTATCATAGCTCCCAAACCTCTCCTGTCATCAGCTACAGCTTGGATGCAGAGGATCGAACACCTGTTTCTACAACAGAGGGGTTCCAATCTCAGTGACTCATCATCATTTATATCTATTGAGCATGATATTCCCCCTGTCCCTCTGCACTTTGGTATTTCTAACCTGAGCCAGGCTTTGCAAAAGCCCCTGTGAATGTCCCTGAGGACAGATCAGCAGATTTATAGTGGCATAAACACCGACCGCTATGTTGCAGTTCCATCATGGGATCCCTTTACAGAGGCCAGAGCTTCACACTCACTTATGGATAAGAAATGAATAAAACATCTCTCCCACTCTGCCGGCTGAGGAACACAGTTCGCTTGAATTCATCGCATTAGGGGCAATACAGTGAAGTATCACAGATACTGACTTCCCAAGACTGACTTTGCTGCACAGTTGTGTGCCAACATGGTCTTCATAATTGCATTAGTTTAGCACCTAGTTAGCACAGGTTAAAAACATTACTAGAGTCCCTGTTGTTGTCGTACATTCTGATAGAGCCAAACAACCTGGCATGTTCATTGCACTTCTATAAAAACAACAAGTTACAAAGATATTGAGTCCTACCACTGTCCCGATCCTTTCCTTTGGTGGCTTGCTGTAGATGGTTGACTTGTGAGTTTGCTGAATGGCTTTCATCAACCTGGACCGGGTCAGTGTGGGTCTCCTAAGGGCAGAGAACATCTTTCTGCTCACACTGTCACTCTCCTCTACTGTATGGAAATGCTTCTGTGGAAATGTCTCCTCATATCCTGTGAGATACTTACAGATAGTCACTACTTTCATCTAATTCCCACCACGGTTCCTGGGAGGAGTTACTTCCACGGGCCAAAGACAATCATGTAAACATACTGACCAATTCTCACAGGATAAGAAATCTGGCCTCGTCTGTGAGACTTCAGGTTAAAATGAGCTGAATAGAAAAAACTCTTGTGACAAAATAGTGATTCTACATTATAATAAAGTCTCAATTGCAGTTATAGTGTAAGCTGAAGTATTACCTAAGTTATTGACAGCCACTAACCCATCACTCATATCATGAAGAAACAAGTAAAATCTGCCAAGACAGCAGATTCGAACTATTAAACAAATGTGATGTGTCCTTATCTGGCATATTTATTTATCTAAAAATATCAGATTTGTGCATAAACTCAAGTCAGATTTGTGCAAATAAAGATGATAAAGACGTTTATATAATATTTTATTTATTGCTGGAAATAAAAATGCCAAAGTTGTAAGCTGAATTGTTCTGGGAATAAACAATGACGTGCATTCCAGATAAATAATTGTTTGTATTGTTTTTTTAAGAGTTATCAACCTGAACACTAGTCTTTTATCATCTTATTATCTACAATAACACCTTTTATATACCCTTAATATAAACATAGGGTCATCAGTTCTCTTAATTAATGACATATATTTCCCTTACTCTCCCCCCAAATTTGGGGAGAGGCTGCTTGAATAAACCAAAGTACTTAAGCTACTTAATTATTGATGTAAGAGCAGATGAGCATAAACAACATTTAAGGCTTGTCATCACACTTTAATGTTATTATGACTCAGGGGCTTTTCAGTGTCTAAGGGGCTTTGTAAATTTATAAAATCCAGGTATCCTGTTTATAACAAATCTGCAAAAACCTTAGATTAAGATTAAAAATAAAAGCTATAATGTACAGTATGTGCCAAAAAGGTTTTGGCCTGCATTAGATGTATTGTGTCGCCCTCAACAGGTGGCCAAGAGAACTTCAATCAGATAAATTGCAACCAAACTTTTAGCCCTGAAGGATTTACTAAGATAACAGACTAACTTTTGAAATAATGACTTCTGTTACAATTGATCCTGTAGCTTCAGCGAGAAACTCTCATATTACATTTTACTATAACTATTATACCAATTCAAACAGTGGGTAGCGGGGCCCCTCAGCTGCATATAACCTACATAGATTACATGATTCAACACACATTTTAATACATTTAAATTCGTGATATAAATCATAGTAAAGTCAGGTAGATACACTTCTATAGAGGTAAAAGTTGATGAATAATAAGAAATAGGATGTTTCATTGGGGAATGATGCGTATTTTTATTAGCTCTGGACCGTACGGACTCTGGCTCTTTACATAGCCCTTTACAAAATTACTGACATTACAATCAAAGGTAAAACCTACACAGGAAGGTAATAAGATGTCTTGAGATGTACGTAACCCACTTTATCCCCACTGTCACAATCACACCGCTAGAGGTCGCTCGCAAACATGTTATTGCACAGGCTGCTCGGAGTACTGACGGGCCTCTTGACCAGTCGGCGTAAAGCATTGAACCTGTCAAACTCACCAAAATACAGGAAACAAGATTATTGTCGCTTTCAAACTAAAGACGCTACAGAGCTGCAGGACGTGCTTACCGTGTCTAATGACGGGTATTTCCACGATTTCCCAACAGATGTTTGTTGAAATGAATTAAGTTAGAATACCGAACATGTGATTGGATCAGCTTTTATCTGATATATCATTGTGCAAATGCAAAAGTGTACAATTCCGAGGTTTTATTGTGAAAGTCATTACCGGAAGCGCCGTTTGTAACTCTCGCTAGCTTGAGAGGGGTTGCGTTGGGATAGGCCATAACAACCACCCAACAAGGCGTTGTGCTACTATGGGGAAATACCGAACCGAACCGAGAATAAAAACGGTTTGGGTTTAGTTTTTTAGTCGAGGTAAATGCTGCAAATTCACCGGAAAGTCGACGCAAGTGGCGATTATTGTTAAATTACGGATCAAATGTGGACGTTGACGTCGAGCCGTGCGTAATGAGCAGAGTTGGAAAAAGAAGGTGTTGAGCTGCATTTTTTCTCTCTCTCCCTCTGCCAGGGACAACTTGGGTCGGAGTACTGCTCGAACTACGAGACGATACGAAGGAAAAAAATGATGCCCACGAAGCTCTCCACTTCCCGGTAAATGTGTTTTTTAAACGCTCGCTTTTTCAACAGTTGCATCGCATCCTGCTCGAAGTAAAAATTGCTGTTTCCGATGGGGGTAAAGTCAAAGCGACACAGCGGAGATAGCTTACCCTAGCCTCTTAGGATATGCTACTAATTACAGGGCTGTGCTGAATATGACTCCTCTCGCTAGGCTGTCGGGAAATATTTGGACGCTACTTCCCATTTTTTAATCAGCCGAGACAAACAACCTAAGTTGGTTTATGCTCTTACAGACACTTTTAAACCCAGGGCTTCCGCTGAGCAGCGATAGCCCACCAGCAGCCCAAAGAGCAACAATAGCTCCGCGTTAACGTAAGGCTAACAAAGCCATCGCCAAAATGATTGATTTCTTTATGCAAGGGTTGTGGGATGATGAACACTTATTCCTTCTCTGTGAGGCTGGATCGATAGAAAAGTTCGGGATGGAAAGTGCTTTTTTTTTTTTTTTTTTTTTTTACTTTGAGGATCAACCTACATGTTGCTGTTTATTGCCTCTGTGTCAGATAGTTGTTGATCGGTTGTGCTATGGCAACAATGTGGCCTGTCGTCTATTGCAATCAATAACCTACTTGTGGATAAAGGTTTATTGTCGTACTAAAGTCGTATAGTAATTTCCAGTAGTCAAATGATATCCAGTATAAATGTAGAGGTCTATAATTGCGGAGATGTGCAGGTATCCTCTTTGCAATTTATAGGTATCCTGTCTTGTTCGGGGTCTGCATTATCATCATGCCTAACCCACCCAAACAATCCTTTTTGTGTTGCTATCCCAAGAGGCTTCTCTGCCGATGTATGTGATATTTGCTGGTGTCACCACCTATTTAAGTGCCGAGGAGCCATATGCACACTGTGATAATCCTGTGGTAATCTCACTGAAATTCTGGTGAGACTCAGCATTCTTCACACCCTGCCTTCCTCTCAAAGTGTGTGAGTGTCTTTTCTGCCTTTTCATTTTTTTGGGGGGGGATGTTCGTTCACTACACATCTTCAGCATAAAGGTTTGTCATTTTACCAGGTGAAGTATTTGTGTCAGTGCTCCAGGGTCCGATAATAACATGTAATTATTGGAGTTACATGCTCAGAAGTCCATGACATGGCATGAAAGGCGGTGAGCTTGCAAGTACTTGCAGCAGAGTAACTGCGACTGAGCCGGACTTTGGCCTGAACGCTGTTTACTCTGGCCAGTTGGATGGAGAACTCAACAAGGAGCATTGACAACTCACTTAAAATAAGCACTTATTGTTTCCTGGGCTGCCATTCATTCCATTGAGACTGGCTGCCGGGCTGTGTTTGTATAGCCATTAGTGTGTGCACACTTAACATTTCTTTATTGAGAAGATGGCCCTGTCCGGGGTTGTTTTGCAAGCTGAACTAGAGCTTGTCATTCATCCGTTCATCCGTTGTCACTTTAAGTACCATCGTGTTTTCACCCACAGGCCAAGAGGAAAAGATCATGTTGATGATTTATGTGCGATATCCACCTTTTGGTTAGTGTGCCATGGCCTCCGGAGCAAATAAATTACAATCAGCTGACAACATAGCCCGTGAAATGTCAAATATGCAGCAGTACGGTTCATATCGTTGGTTGACACAGGCTAATCCAGAGGCTGCCCACCATGAGTCATCATTGTGGGGACTTTTGTTCCCTCTGTCCGTCTCTGTCATTTCAGTGTGTTGCTCTTTCTAGCCTGTTCTGATTCCTGTAGTTTCCTGTAGCTCTCCTGGCAGAGCCTGTAATCAGTCGAATGGCCTGATTAACTGCTATACTGATTGACCTGATTGGCAAAAACACTGCAGAGGTAAGCAGTCTGCTCTTCCACTGAATTCCCTCTCTCTCCGCTGTCATTTCAGACAAAAAATGACATCATTATTATTTTTGAGGAGGTAATTTATGCTGTTTTCTTTCCACCTGCGATGCGTATTCCACTTGCACATCCTCCTGTATGATGTGTGCAGACACATCAATACCGTGGAGGTCACTCTAGTAGAAAGTTCTGGTTCCTGCTCACTGCTGCATTGCTTAATATGACCCTTTTAGATTGCCTGTGATTGTATCAAATATCCAATGAGTCAAACAGTCTATAATTACTCTCTGAAGCAGTATTTCTGTCCAGCTTGGTTAGCAAAGCACATTATGGCCAACTCTCCCCACAGGTCATTTAACAGCTTTTGTGACAGCAAACTTTCTTTTTTACTTATATCCTCCCAAACATATTAGAAACTGCAATTATGACAAGGGATTAGTTGACTTAATTTGATTGTGTTTTTTTTATTTTAATTGGACAAGGCCTGCAGCTTTCTTTTTCTTTGTATGTGAGTCAAGAAAGTAATTTATCTACATTTCTTCGGCGATCAGTGTTATGGGACTTCATGAGATAATGCCCACAATGGGCTAATAAAAATTCCCTGTTGAAGAAATTATATTGCAGAGCTTTGACACATCTATAGAGCACTTTGCAGCTACCATGTCATTTTAGACAGGAAAGTGTTTGGAGGATGTATTTTGCTGTTTCTAGAGTTTCTGCCCTTTCATGTAGACCTGACTGTTACTGGCACAATGATTGCTCTTCTTCAGAAGATTAGGGCCTGTGTCATTGAGGCTAACAACAAAGATTACTATCAAAAGGTGGTGATTTTATCATTTTATTCATACGATACTTGGTGGGACCAACGGAGAACACAGCACTTAGATTTCTTTGTACCGGAAATGTGAATTTCTTAATCATCTGCTACACTGCCCAAGTAATTCTTCACATCACTTTTGATTGTTGGAGTCTTGTCATGCCAGTGTGGCTTCATTACCGCTGTCACTTTGATTCAAAATGTTGGATTTGTGCGTTACATTAGCAGAACTTTGGTTAAAACCTGCACTGAAATAATAAAAACATGCTGTTGAAATTTGGGGTCGCTGACTGGAAAGGAAACCCAGATACCTTCTGCTTCCCTTTTTATCCAACCATGATGAGGAAAGCCACATAAATGATTGATAAAGTGCCTTGACTGTCATTTGAATAATACATCACCTGCACAACACCTGTTCTTGCGCCAAGCATTTTTGTATGGTAATGTTTTGTGGGAGACTGGGGTTCTGTCTTTTAAACCTCCGCACGTGGCTGATTTAAATAAAATAAAATGATGCAAACCACGAACGGAGGCAAGGTGAGCAGTTTGAAAGGCTGCGTATGTTTGTATGTGGAGAGAGAGAGAGAGAGAGAGAGAGAGAGAGAGACGTGGGGGCAGGGAGTGTCTGCTGTCACCTCTCATTAGGGACGTATAGTCCAGCTCGGCCGGCGTCTGCCTTCCCCCCCTCGTCTGTGGCACTGCCCTCCTCTGCTCCCAGCCCGAGCACAACAGAGCAGCACACTGTCTCAGTCTAAAGTGCAGAAAAGTGTCTTAATGTTCGACATCAGAGAGATTATGGCAGAGATGCTTCTTATTGAATGGCGTGAGTCAGGTCTCAAGGAAATAGCTGTCCTAAATTATGCTTTTAGAATTCTGCACTGCAGCTGAAGTTAAATTTGGTTCACTCATTTGAATGAGTTAAAGCTGTGAGTTTGCCTAGCTGAGAGTCAGCGTATTGTTCAATTGATGTGTTGGTTGCTTTGTTTTATACTGCCTCTGCTGTGCTCCTTTGAGGACCACCCCCCTAAACCACCTTCTTTTGTAAACAAGACAGTATATATCTCAGGGGCTTCCTCCTCTCTCCTACATATTCAAATTCAATTTCTAATTTTGTCCAAATGAATTCCCTGTGAAGATGGGGCTTATTTAAAGCAGTCTAATGAAATAAAGATCAACCAACATTTTTATTGGGTGTGCTCCAGTGTGACTGCTTGGTGAGTATTTGTGTGCGTGGAGTAAGAGGCTGTGGTTTTCCATTGAACCCTTGGGAGGCTGTGGAGTGCTGCTCTACAGGGGCAGACACAATGATTTATTAGTATGGTAGGCAGGAAAAACTAGCAGGCTGAGATAAAACGGATCTCCATCACTCTCCAGTTCTCCGTCTGGTCTTGCATAAAAGTGAGACGAAATGTGTATATATACAGTCCATATGACTGTTTTTATAAATATTGATTTATTTAGAAGTACAGAGCAATGAGAAGGACTTTTCCAAGTCTCTTAATAATGTTTATAAAAGGATATAAATTGTAAGTGTCATGGAAAATTGAGAAGTTGTTGTTGATCTACTTGCTGGTAGAAATGAAGCCAGATATACTCAGGTTGTAATTAATAGACTGATGGGTTGAATATGTGCTTAATTAACGCGGTGCCCTGTTTTCTGTTTGATTGTAGCCAGTGATGATACAAAGGATGGGGCAAAAAAATTACAGAGGGCGCCTTGACTGGTGCCATAGCTGGCAAGAGTAGGTGGAGGAAAATGGAGCTATTCGCAGAACTTTGCTCGTCTCTCATTTTCTGTCTTAGATTTATGTTTGTGTGACAGAACCATATCAGTTACCAACCACTTAAATAATCTGATCAAGGTATATGTAATTTTATATCACAATGTGTGTATAAATGCATTTGTCACAGAGGACTTTTTGACTTGTCATGGTAAGAAAAGTGCAGGTGTTACTAATAACATTAACAATGGCTCTGTTCTATTGAAGTGTCTG